AGCTTAGATCTCCAGCCTCAGAAATGTTTGTGAAACACATATTTACTGTTGGAGCTGCTTGGTATGTGGGATTTTGTTAACGGCAGCTCCAGCCGATGCCACAGGCTTGAAGGTCCAGCTAACTCTTCTACGCCTCTTACCTGAATTGCTTCCCCCATTGTGTGTGGCTAGCAGCTCCTCCAATATCCATGGAGACAGGGAGCTCTCTGTGCTACCCAAAAGTCCACTGTGTCACTCCTTCCCTGAAGCCACACACATCTTTCCAGAAGACAGTGGTCAGTCAGGCTAGCAAAGGGCCAGACTGCAAATAAGTGTGGCTGTGTGGCCCATGTCATCTGTGCTGCAAAGAACTTTACTATTGTAACACAGAATCAGCCAGGGCCCACAGGCAGATGCCTACCTACTTTCATGGCCCAATGAAGTCATGTATAGTGGATGAAATTTGGGTTTCAGGGCATTTTCATGATAAGAAAAAAATTATTAAATTTTTTTTTCTACTGAAAACAAGTAAAACCATTTGGCAGGCTGAACGTGGCCTAGTAATGTAGCTGGTCAACTCGGTTCTGGATTTCTCAAGTCAAAGACTGGCCTGAGCAAGTGTAGAACATTTTTCTGAAAGGGCCAGGTGATCAACTACAGGACAAGATTTATAGGAGCTGAGGGGAGTGAGTGAGTGAGTGAGTGAGTGAGTGAGTGAGTGAGTGAGTGTGTGTGGTGTGTGTGTGTGTGTGTGTTGAGCACACGGTACACTCATGTTGGGTATGTGAGGTTTCAAAGTAGGAGCTGGGAAGAAATGGGTTTCCTACACACAAAGTTCTAGTGATTAACACCCATCTATGGCTCTTAGTGGCTGAGAATCTCAGGTAGACTTGGAGATGAAGAGTGGGGAGTTCCACGGCCAGATGGGGCTTTTTCTCTTTGAGCAGCGAAAGAAAAAATCAGGACCAGAATGGATCTCAGTGGAGAGGCAAAGGATGAAAGTTCCTATGGGCATTCCAGCTTCAGGGCAGGAGAACCCTGGCTGCCTCCTCCCCTGCATGCTTCCCCTCTCAGCACACAGGTAGGTGGCCAAGACCGGAACTGATGTATTCATGGGATTGAGAAGAAGCAGGTGGCTGGATCAGGGGCAGAGTCAGGCCAGGTAGGTAGCTGCGGCTCAAGCAAGTGGGCAGTAGGTGTCTGCAAGAGATGTAACGTTAAGCCAAGAGCCTCAGAGATATGGATGCCCCTAGAAAAGCAGTGTCCATTGAGGACAAGCCCCATGGGCCTTCAGTACTCTGGTCCCAGAGAGGTGAGGGTGCTGGAATGGCAGGAAAAGGCCCAGTGGGCCTAGCTGGAGTCAGGATGCAAGCTCAGCTGGGGCTTCTCAACTCCATTTGCTGGAAGGGAGGTGTCTGGATAAGGCCATGACGACATGAAAACCAAGGTGGGAAGTCCGTGGAGCCGGGGGCTGATCCCAGGTATCCTGTCTCATGCCTGGCTGCCTCTGCCATTGCTGTGCTTGGCGACAGGTTTGCCTCTTGCACTGGGTCACATCAATGGGGAAAGGGTTTTGGGAATGTGGACAAAGGACTCAAGAGCAGCTCACTCCTTCCCTCCCTCTGCATGCCCCACCTGCCCCTATCATCCTTCTCACAGGATACTGTTTCATCAACATGGGCAGGAAAAGCCACCAAGTGTTAAGGGTAAGAGAGGAGGGGCTTGAAGGCAGGACCCTGAGAGAACATGAACTAGCAAGAAGACACAGGTTCCTGGTGGCGAGACCCCCTGGGCACTTGGCACTGGGCTGAGACAGAAAATGGACAATGTCTACCCACACATCCATCATTGCGGGTGGACTCACTGTAGCCATGTAAGAGAAGCAAGAGGAAAATGAGCTAGAACCTCCTGTCCCTCCCCCACCATGACCCCCACCATCCTGGTCTCCAGGCTCTAGACTCCAGGGGTGGAGGTGTGTGGAAAGGCACCATGCATGACAGTGAGCTGCAAGGAACACCCACAAGTCACTCTGGCCTGGGAGCCACCACTGTGCCCTCCAGTTGGCAAAGGGAAATATAGGGCAGCAAGGTGGAAGGGACAGTGCCATCCCAGAGTAGGAGACCAAGGCAGAGCTGGGCTTTTCCCTGGCCAAGAGACTTAGAACTCAAAGCACACGCCAAGCAGGGTGACTACACTCCAGAGCTCTACACAAAGCTGCCTACCCCACATCACGACACACCCACCTAAAAACACACTGCCCAGCCCCCACGCCCTGCCCCGTCTTTAACCAAGTGCAACACCTCTGCCTTTACTCCCCACCACCCCACACCAAGAACACAGCTGGAACCCACTATGCAACGACAAAACAGCCAAGGACCTCTCCACAGTAGGAACACTGGGTTCCTGCTCATCAAGGTCAAAGGTCACTCAGCAGCCTGCTGCCCCTGAGGACACACACATACACAGACTAGTTCTGTGAGCCTGTCCCCACAGGGCCTCCTGTCCTTATCAACAGCGCAGCCCAGGGTCTCTGATCTCAGCCCATGATTCTCCACACCATCCCCTGGGCCCTGGCGACTGATGCCATGGTGCCCCAGCTGGTCCAGTTTGGTCCTAGCTCACAGGTGCCCGACTCTGCCCGACAAGAAGAGCACAAGTCTGGGGTGCAGGGTGCAGGGCAGCTGCCACGTGCTGTGGCTGGTGGGGGCTGGACCCGCTGATCGTGAGCCTCTGGCCTCCAAGGCTTGGCAGAGGGCAGAGCAGGGAGGGAGAGGTGGCTCGGCGGCTGAGGCAGCTGAATGCTGTCCTGTTGGCGGGTGGTCACAGCCTGGAGTGGGGAGGGGAGAAGATAGAGAGATAGGTAGATGAGAGGTCACAGAGAGAGGACAACATCAGGCTTGGGTGGCTCGGCATCTTCTCTGAAGGCCAGGTGTCTTGAGATGAGCTGGTCTGTCCTCCACCGGAAAACACAGAAGGGACTGCCCACAATGGCCCTGATGCACAGGGTACACACACCTGCCAGTTTTGCGTGTGAAGACACTGGAGATCAGAGAGATTCCACCTTAGGTCCAAGAAGGCAGCAGGTTTAGGATTGGAACTCAGACCACTTCCTGTCTGAGCTTATGGCTGCCATCTAGTGGTGGTCCTCCAGGACATGGGTTGGCAGGAGCCTCCAGGAGGGATGGAGATAAAGGAAGAGGAGGCAAGAATAGGCTCTGTCCCCTGGACTCTTGCCACTAGCCGAGGCTTCATGACCCAGAGAAGCAAAGGGACCTCACTTCACTGCTCACCTCTGTACCCCCGGCAAGGTTCCAGGCAATTGGTAGATGTCCAGTATACATGGGATGAATTTTTTAAAAAATCAAGAAATGCATCGCAATTCCATTGAACTTGAAGTCCCATCATTTAGAACAGCTTTTTTACTCTCTGTTTTCTCTGTCCAAAATCACAGCAAAATACGGAAAGGAAGGTACCTGCCTTTCTCTAACCATTGAGCTTTAAGCCTCTCTGTTCGTCTGAACTCTGACCCTCTCCTTTGTGACCTCTGGGAGAGCAAAGCTCAGTGGATGATGGCCTAAATGACCCTTGAATATGGCTACACTAAGAACTCCCGGGCGCTGCCCAGGGTTCTGACATCAGTTCTTTGACAGCTTCACACTCCCTTTGTTTGGGGCGGGGTGGCTGCTGTTCAGCGCATCCTTGGGTCTGTTTGTGTATCTGCTTGGCTCTCACACCCACCATCCTTCTACAATGGAGCTCACTCTCCCTCCTGGTAGATGGCGGTTGCCAGGGGATGCTGAGCACCTGCCATGTGGGAAGCTTCATGCCAGGTTCCCTAGGGCAGGAGCTCACTCACCTCACAGAAATCCTGCTTAAGAGGTCCCTTGACCTTCATGTTCCAGAACGTGAACCTGCTGCTCAGGGGCTGAGTCACGAGCCCAAGGCCATAGAGCTATTAAGCCAGTGGAGGGGCATTTCAATTTACTCATGCCTATTTGAACCTGAAATCTTGGCCCTTTTCAATTGTCTGGGGGAAGGATTAGCCCCTGGGGACAGAAAAGATTCCATCCTCTCCTCCCTCTTCCCTTCAGTAAGCTTAAGGGGGTGGGGCAAGGAGTGACAGAGGGTCTGCTGGGATCTTGGGGACTTTCATAGGGTCCCATGGGAAGACTAAGAGTACCATCATGGCATTGCTGTGCACACAGGTGGGGAGTTGGCAGAGTGTGAATTTGCACATTTATATCTGTGTGTAGGTACTTAGACACAGTGGTAGGCATGGCGGTGCAAGTGTGTAGAGGTATCTGCAAGTGTCATCAACGTGCTTGTGTGTCTGTGTGTGTGGCCTTTGGTGTCTGGATAGGTTTCCATAGGATGTTCTTGTGAATGAATAGGTCTGAGTTTACGTCGAAGCATACCTGGGTATGAACATGGAGAGAGCCAGGCTTTTAGGTCCCGTCTCAGCAGCTCCTCCTGTGTTCCGCAGTGTGTGTCTACCTGACTGTGTGACTGTGAGCCACCAGCAGGGCAGCGGGGAGCAGGAACGCTCCTCTGTTAGATGCTTCAGGGATGGGATGCCAGGGATGGGGTTTGGATGAGATGTCACATTCGTGATCTCAGGTGGGGCTACTGCTCCAGCCAGGGACAAGGGGATTGAGAGGGGCCTGGAGCCTCCATGTGAGATGCCAAGACTCTCTCCTGCTCTGACCTTCCTGTAACAAGTGCAGGCCAGGTCTTACAGAGAGAGAAACCCCCAAAGATGCGAATGAGAGAGCTTGGCAGGTTCAGGGCGCGTTGCTTCATGGCATTCACCCTCACTGGGGCATCAACCTTCATCAAGCAAGATGGGAATGAGGTGGCTGTGGGAGGCACAGGACCCAAACATAGAACAGACTCCCCTGAACAGAAACCTGGAGGTGGTGATGGGGAGTGGGTCCATGGAAGAAGTTTGGGGGGAGGACAACAGTCAGTGAGGGCAGGGCAGCGGGGTACAGGGAGAAGGGGGGGAAGCCAGAGAAGGGAACCTACTCTGCAGACTTCCAGAAGTGCCCGGGGTGAGACAGGCGGCGGTTTCGCTTCGGCAGCTTCTCCAGCATGTCCATGAGCTTGGTGAAGCTGGGTCTCTCTTCCTGTTCAAAGGCCCAGCAGAAGAGAAGGATGTCCTAAAGAAAACCAATCGTGGTGACTGATAGAAACCGCGACTTCTTGACTGTGCCTGGGCAGGCTCAGTGTATGAGTCCATTTGTCTGCCCATCTTCCCCACATCCATCTTTGTCCATCTATCCATCCACCCCACTCACCACGCACACATTCACATTGCGTGCATCCATCCAAATCAACCAGCATTCATTTGCATCCATACCCGCCCATTATGCATGCATCCTTGTATCCATTCACCCAGCCGCCCATGTCAATATACTCAACCATCCTTCATCCATCTTGTACATATCCCCATATCTGTCCACCCACCCATCCATCATCTCTGGAGGACAGAGCAAATGAGGTATTCCCTATGCTTAAATACATCAAGAGCAATAATATTCCTTAAGGAGCTTCCTGCTATTTTTCTCAAAAGGAAAGGATAAGACGGAATCCACATCCCTCCCCGTATGGCAAGGACTTTCCAAATCATGGAGAAAAAAATTTACTTTTAGTAATCCCATTTGATAAGGGAATTCTCCGTACAGGCAACCCTTAGATAAACTTAGGCAAAATAAAAGGTTTACAATCAAAAGACCGTAATATCTGTCTGCTGTGCTTTGGGGAAAGATTGTGAATTGATTCACAGGTTTCTCTGTTTCATTGTATCTTTTTCTGAGTTGGGTGATGCTTTAAAATTAGCATGTATTTACAAATTAAACTGCACAAAGCACTAATATCCCTTATCAACAAACAAACAAAAACCAGAAAAAGTGGGCTTCATTTGTTTACCTGATTCAGCGACCCACTGTTAAGAAAAAACCTGGGTAAGGCTCACTGTGCCTCTAGTGGTAGGCATCTGAAATTGCAGGCACAGTGCAGTGGATTTTACCTTCTAAGCTTCCAATCACAAACTCACAGAGCTCTGTGCACACTCTAAGGATTACCCTTGGGAAAACATTTGTATCTTAACACGCAGGAAAAAGAGGTCCCAGTGTTGTGCTCCTGTCCCACAGACCCACTCTGGGACTTACCGAGATTTCTTTTCCCATGCCGATTTGGCTGAGGTTGGGCTTCATGCCTGTACCCATTTGCCAGATTATTGCCTCTGCTGGTTGAGTTTTGAAAGGCCACTCCCTGGCGTGGAGCTCATACCAGATTGTACTGTTGGTAGACATGGAAAGGACGAAAGGACGTTGGTGTGATACAATGTCATTGATGACTCTCTAACCTCTCACCAGCACACAGCTCCTAAGCCAACCCCCTGGGTCAGCCATTCCTCTCCTGCTTTACCCCCAGTGGGGTTGGCATTTTGCCACTGGGATACTACTAAAGCTTTCTTAGAAGTAATGCCTTAAAATGCATCTTCCTGATTGTGTCTGTGGCAGTGGGGAGCAGGGTCTCTAGTCTGTCAGAAACGTCATCTACCAGGAGTTTCCACACCAGAACCAACGCTGCTGCCTTTCCTTGAATGTCAAGGACTATGAGCTAAACATATCACCTTTCTGGATGAAGCTGTCCAGCCTCAGCTAACTCCTTACAGCAATGAAAACCAGGCTAATACAAAACTCAATCCTCTGGGGCAGGGAGGGGAGAGGATGCTTAGCGGTGGGGTGTCATGGGAGGGGCGAATCCTCTTCTTGTCAAGGGCCACTTGGATGCTTATAGCACCATCCATGGGCCGTACATGGTTATCAACTTAAAACACTGCCCCTGCCACTAATGCTTTGAGTTTCAAGTCCTGCTGTCAGTTACCTCAGCATGGCCAGAGCAAACAACTTGGTGGACCTTTGTTTGTGTTTTTTTACTTTTGACAAAAGTATCATTCATTTCAAAGTACAATGTTGTAGTTTCTAAGCCACACACACGAATGTTACACTCCTCACATAGAGTCAGCACACAAAGTGCACATGGGCTGAACCAAACACTGTCACCTTCACTCACTGTTCTCATGTTCACCGACAAGGACTCTCAGCTTGGGTCTGGCCCGGCCCTGGGTGTTATGGGCATTTGGGAAGTGAGCCAGTAATCGGAGCTCTTCCTTTCTGCCTCTCACAGAAATGGCAATGTTCTAGAAAATCTAAATCCAGGGCTGGAGTTGGGGTGTTGTAGGTTTGGATCCTGCCTCTGGCAGTCACTACAAGACATGTCATTGACTCGTTGGAAGCCTCGACTTCCTCACCTGTCAACTGGGGACAACACAATCCCTGCCTGTACAGATTCCATAAGACAGCTCCACGCTGAGCTCGGCGGACTTTGAAAAGTTCGTTTTTGTTCCACATCAGTCCTAAGCATGAGGTTCCCAAGCAACAAGATGCACCTAATTGGCAGGAAACCAAGAGCGCCAGGTCCTTCCGAACTCAGCAGCAGCAGAAATAAAAGCCTCATTAAAACTTCCTTTCAAACCCAACTTCCAAGACAAACTCACTTGAAAAAAGCTGCTAAAGATGAAAACTCCAGCGGAAAACCAATTACTTTGGTACATTTTGTTAATTGCATTTTTTTTTTTTTGCTAAATTTACACTAAAACACACCAACTTCATCATGGCAATTTGGTTTAAGATAATATCTAATGAGTTAAAAGATCTGGCCCAGAGTTAATCCAGGCCAAGTGACAGCCTGAAGGGCTTCAAATGACACACCGAGAATTCAGAGTTTCCAGAATGTGCCCTCTCCGGGATGTGTGGCGAGGAGGCTGCGTTGGGGAGCGGGGGGAGAGGGGGAGACGTTTTAGGGGAGACAGTTTCTCTCATATGTACACACATCTGTAGGCTGCAGCTTCCCCAGCAGCAACCCCTAGCCCCTGCTACCACTCCACGGAAAAGGGAGGACCAGGGTCAGTGTGGCTGCCTGGGGCATGGGAGCAAAGACACCCTTCTGGCCTCCCATGACACCATGCCCTGCCCAGTACAGCTGTGTGCTAGACATTTCTTCCGCATGCCCAAGGACAACCCATTCTCTCATGTGGCCACAGTTCCTATTGGCTGACAAGTTAAACATCTCTTTTTAAAACTCTTAAGTGTACAGGTGCACCTGCCTTATGGCTGGCTAAGGTAGCTGATGCTCACTCAATATGAGCTTGATTTTTTTGAGCATGCCCAAGTCCTGCCTCTCCTCCAGGGCCTTGATCTTGGGGAAGGATACCACTCTCTAATTGGTTACTGAAGACTGGAATCTGGGTGCCGCTCACCACCCAACACCAACTCCCAGCCCTATGTGCTTGTACCCATGCTCAGCCTTGACCTCCATGGCTGCTGACCCTATGGAGCCGCCAGCCTCTTCCCACAGCTCAGACTCTCAGTATGCCCTTCTCCGTTCTGTTTCTACACAGCAGCCAGTGTGGTCTGATGGATCCGAAGCCCAAATGATGACTGCAGTGCTCCATGCTTCTAAATAGCAATCAATGGCTCCCTAGTGCCCCAAAGATGACATGAAAAAAAACCCTTAACTCTGCCACTAGTTCCCTACACAAACGACTCCATCCCTCTCCAGGCTCTCATATCTCAGCCCCAGCCTCATTCTTTCTCTGAATCTTTGTCTATCAACTTCTCCTACCCTCATTCTTCTCCTACCCTCATTCTTCTACCGGTTCCTCCCCAGGGAATAAATGACCCCCTTTTGCTTTTGTGCTTTCTATGTGGAAAACCTCTGATGCCGCTGATGGTGCTCTCGGTTTTCTGTCAATCAGAGGTGGGGTTGTATCCAACCTGTAACTCACGATCCTGAGCTGCTTCCTCCTGGGAGTGCTCCCTGTCCTCCCAGCTCAGACTGGATTCCTCTCTTATTCCCAGTGTGTGTGTCCCCAAAATGGCATCAAGCATACTTGGCCAAACCTGACTGCCTCCTTGTCTCACACTAGACAAGGCAGGGGAGGGACCTGGGACCTGCACATCTCTGAATGGCTCCTTCCTGTAACGTTACATGCAAGTCAGATGCAGCAACTTGCATGTAAGAGGGGCCATGTGGCAGGAGAGTGCAACACACCTCACTGACCACAATCCCCTCCCCACTGCCCATGCAATGTATCTGGGAGATAGAACCCTGAATGCTGTCATCACAACTAAATAAAAAACGTTGAAGCTGATGGATATGCTACTGCTTCATTACCCAATATATACATGGACCAAAATACCATAAGCATGTCTAATTATGTGTCCTCAAACAGTCAATGCAACTTAAGAAAATACCAAAGCAGACAGGGTGAGATGAGATCACGGACTGCAATGAGGCTTTTAAGCTGCAACACTGTAGGTCACTAAGTGGCCCCATGTTCTAACGGGCCAAGGTCTCTTGCCAACAACCCTATGAGTGGTCCTCTTGGAAGGGGCTTGACTGTAACCTCCCATAAGCCTCCAGGTCAACTCATGATAACGCATCTAAGTGGCTGGTGTCATGGCACAGTGGGTTAAAGCTGCCTCCTGACACCAGCACCCCATATGAGTGCAGGGTTCTGTATAGCTGCTCAGCTTCTGATCCAGCTCCCTGCTAATGTGCCTGGAAGAGCAGTGGAAGATGATGGCAGGAGTGCTTAGGCCCCCTACTACCCACATGGGAGATGCAGATGGAGTTCCAGGCTCCCAGCATTGGCCTGGCCCAGTCCTGGTTGTCGAGATCATTTGAACCAGCAGATGGAAGAAGTTTATGTCTCCCTCTGCCACTCTGCCCCACACAAGTAAGAATAAATCTTAAAAGGAGAAATTCTGAGCTAAGTCCTTCCCAAAAATTCTGTTTTAAGTTGTGAAGTTAGGGGTATCTGTTATATAATGCAATATACTAACACAAGCCCAAATCTTGTACTTCCAGTATTGCGCAGTGTTGGCTGATAGCAGGCATCCATCTAACAGCTCTCAGATGACTGAGTGAATGAATGAACGAGGCAACTGTCATGGCCTCACAGGTGAGCATGCAGGTGTTAGAGTCCTTCCTGCCACTCCACCTGACTTAGACCCCCTCCCCCCCGAATCGCAAACAGATGGCCCCACACACAGGTGCACTGGTGCTTCCAGGATTACTGAAGGCAGGCTGGGAGGTGGCCTGTGCCCAGGACGTGGCTCTCCAAGGCCGGGACAGAGCCTACTCACCCAAGTGCAAAGACGTCTGAGTGCTTGGAGAAGGGAAGCTTGTCTTCCTCAGTGTCTGGGGACAGTTGGCGGATGATCTCCGGTGCCAGGTGGCACAGCCAGCCATTCTGGATGCGCAGTTTGTCCTCCCGTCTACAGAAGCAAAGTACAGGGTGAGCTCCATTTCCCAGCCAGGAGAGCACCAGGTCCCGATCATGGACTTCTAGTCCTGGATCCATGCTTTCCTGATGCCTCCACTGGGCACAGCCTGACTTTGACCTTGAGGTTGAAACTAAGAGGGAGGTGCAAAGAGGCTGGTATGCTAAGAGACATCAACACTGAAACCCTTTCTTGGTCCTATCCTCTCTGAGGCAGCCAGCCCTCTGCCCACTCATGTTCAATAAATGCCACTGATTCTCTCTCTCTGTGGTAGTATCATCATGGAAAGGTATTGTGGGTAATGCCGCTCTTTATGGTACCCAGAGGGGGCAAGAATAGCACATTCCTCTTCCTTCCAAGTTAAAGTTAACATGGCACATTGTGGCTCAATAGACTAAATTCTCCCCCTTCAAGTACTGGCATCTCATATAGGCACTGGTTCGTGTTCTAGTTGCTGTACTTCTGATCTAGCTTCCTGTTTATGGCCTGGGAAAGAAGTGGAGGATGGTGCAAGACCTTGAGACCCAGCACCCAGGTGGGAGAGACTCATAAGAAGCTCCTGGCTCACGGCTTCAGAATGGCTCTGTTCTGGCCATTGTGGCCATTTGGAGAATCAGCCAGTGGATGGAAGATTTCTTTCTCTGTAAATTTTAAATTTGCCTTTTCAATAAAAATAAATAAATCTTTTTTTTTTTTAAGAAAAAAAGTTAACTTGGCACAGGCATATGCAATGAGGGGCTACCAAAGCAGATAACATGGTTCTAGCTGACTCCTTATTAACAATTAACTCCTCTTATCTCCTGAAGATTCTCCTTATGTGTGAAAGTGACCTCTATTTGGGGCCGCACGCACTTGGGTGGAAACCCGAAAAAAGGGTTGTGGGAGAAGCAGCGATATGGAGTCACTGCCACAGTCACGACTCCGTGTTGTCTTTGGAGGGTGGCTCTGTCCAGGAGCACTCTCTGGGACACTGGCCACCCATCCACCTTCTGCGTTCCCCTGCCAGGAGCTGCCTGGAATGCATGTGACAGGGAGAAACACAGCTAAGGGCACACTGCCAAATGCATCCTCGGTCAGGGCTTCTCAGCCATGGCACCAGTGGTGATGTTCCAGACTATACCCATCTGCGGTGGAAGCTGCTTTGTGCATGGTAGGGGGCTGCACAATATCTCCATAATCTATTTCCTAGAGGCTAGCGATGCTACTCGCCACGTGTGACAACCAAGAATGTCTCCAGACATGGACGGAAGTCCCCTGGGGTGGAAACAGCGCCTGTTGAGAATCAGTGTTCCGATGAGGCACAGTAAGGAAATGGCCTGAATGTCAGCACGTTGATGGTGGTAATGCAGTTTGCACCTGTGTTTCTGTCTGGGGCAGAACACAGCCTCTGCTGGAAAACGGAGTCCAAACCTCCTGGAAAAATTGCTGACTTGTAAGAGCTGAATGGGTTCTTGCTTCTAGAACCAAAGATATTTGCAGAAGACGAACAATCTGTCTACTGCTTACCAACTGTGGGGCTCTAAGCAAAACCGAAGAATTCATTTTCACACCTGCAAGTTGAGGCTGTTGCTTTGTGCTTCGCAAGGCTGGTGCAAGGATTAAAATGAGACAGTGCACGTCACAGGGCAGTGTCAGCTGCCAGGGTCACATGATCTTTGGGCATCATTATTACACTATCCACTGCTTTTCTTTCTTTCCTCCATCCATCCATCCATCCAACCACCTAACAACTACCCGTTCATCTGTCCATTTGTGTCTGTCCACTCAGTTGGCCTATCTATCCACCTACTTACCATGAAAACTCAGAGATGGACTTGAGACCAGAGCTCCAAGGAAAAGGGGCCCTGGCCTGGGTCAGTCAGCATTCTCCTGGCAGATCAGGTTATTGGGGTAGGGGGTGGGGGGGGGAGGATACAGCTGCTACAAGGTAACTCTCTCATCTTTTCTAAAACATCCCTGCCATCTCTTCTTGACTCAACAGGTCATCACTCAGGGAGAGGAGCTGGAGCTGGCCACACACAATCATCAGCTGTGGAAGGTGTATGCACATCCTTGGGAGAGAGCTGAGAGCCAGGCCTGGCACAGACACCCCGGGGCATCCTGTCCCTATGGCAATAGGCCTACCCATGACAACCCGAATCATTTTCATTACCATTATTGTTATGATTAATAACAGGCTGTGGGTGGCTGGCACCACAGCAGAGGCATGTTAAATGACACCTTTTCTTGATGAAGCAGAACAACTGTGCTCCAGGTTCTGTGTCATGTGCAGAACATTTTCTCTCTCTCTCTCCTCCCCCCCCATGATGCCACCCCGCATCCCTGGCAAAGGCTGGTTAGGTCTCCCTGGACTGGGCACAGGCAACACCCCAAGCTTTGTGTGAGTGGAGGACAGGAAGGCAGGTCACTCTTGCTAGATTGTCCATCTCAGCGAATCTTTAGTGACCCAAATGGGAGGGGTACTGTCCCTGTTTCACAGACGAAAAAACAGAGGCTCAGAATCATCCAAGGCCTCTGCCAAAGGCTGTAGAGGTGACATGTGACAGAGTTAAGACATGTGTCAGTGTCTAGAACCCCAGAGAGAGTGGGTGTTCCGCCTTGGGATGAAGACCCTTGTGCCCCACACTGCAGCACCTGCATTTGAGTCTCCACTCAGGCTACTGATTCCAGCTCCCCACTGATGTGCACCCTGCAAGGCAGCAGATGATGGCTCAAGTATTCAGGTCCCTGCCACCCACAGTGGAGACCTGCACTGAGTCCCCAGCTTCCAGCTTTGGCTCAGCCTAGCCCTAGCAGTTTTAGACTTTTGGGGAGTGAATCGGCTGAAGGCAGCTCTCTCTGTCTTCCTGCCTCTCAAAGGAATGGATGAATGAACAATTACATATGTAACAGTCAGAGATGATATGTATCACAATTCTACAGAAATTTCTGGAGAAGTAGCACCATTAGGCGCAGGCACTGTGGCATAGTGAGTTGAGCCACAGCTGCTGTGCCAATGACATCTCATATGGGCATGGATTGGGATTCAGGCTGTTCTACTTCCTAAGAAGCTCCATTCTAAAGTGTCTGGGAAAGCAGTAAAGGATGGCTCAAGTGTTTGGGCATCTGTATGTGGGAGATCCAGAAGGAAAACCTGGCTCTGGAATGGCCCCATTTCAGCCATGTGGCCATCTGCAGATGGAAGATCTCAATCTCTCTCTATCTCTCTCTCTCTCTCCCCTCTATAACTCTACTTCCAAACAAATAAATAAATCTTAAAAACATATATCACGAAATAGCATCCTTAGAAAACGAAGCTCTAAATGAAGCCTTCTCCATCCCTTCAAAATAGTCCCAGCATGGTTGGGACCATTACTGCCTTCCCCACACCCACACCATCAGCTGAGGGAACTGAGACCCAGAAAGTTAGCTGTATGTTTAAAAAAGACAAGCTGCTGTTGTCTGTCTCACAGTGGACTGGACTGGATACCCTCAAAATTCATGGACTGACAACACCAAGCCCACTATGACCTTATTTGGTAAGCTACACTTCTGTGTATGCTTTCTTTAACTTTTACCTTTATTTTATTATTATTATTTTTTTATTTGCTTGAGTAAAAGATGAGTAAATGAGTAAAAGACACAGAGAGCTACCATCCACTGGTTCACTCCCAAAATGCCTGTGATAGCTATGGATGGGTCAGGCCAGAGCCAGAAGCTAGGAACTCTATACTAAGGCAGTTCCATGTTAGCAGGAAACTAGACTCAGCAGAGCTGGAACCTGGCCCTGGGCATTGTGATCTGGGATGCGAGTGTCTCCAATGACGTCTTAGCCACTCTGCCAATGGCCACTCCTCCAAGTATCTGTGAACTCACTTATTGTTCTTATTTTCTTATTTGATGCACTTTTACACAGTTACAGAGACTGCCTGGATGCTTTCCAGGTGGAGTAAAATCCTTTTTTAAAAAGTGGGACAATTTTGCTTTCTACAACATCTCATGGGAAGAAGCACATTGAGTTTTGCTAAATGTCAGGCATCTCGCTCAGATTCAAGGTATGACAGGGCATGAACTGAAGCCATCTTGGGGAGCCTGCACTGGACCGCAAAGGAGCTGGGAGTTCCCCATGTAGGTGGAGCCGCAGTATAAATAAGAGAACATCTGGACAGAGAAATTATTCACCTTAAGTTGCATGGTTAGAATAAACATGTGAGGGTTTCAAGCATGTGTGTGTGTGAAAGAGAGACAGAGAATTCCAAATTAAGTCGCCAGGATATTCCTTTTGAACTATGGCTATTAAACTGGGACCCAAACTGCTTTCCATACGGCCAGCTCAACATGGTTTGCTCCAAGAAGCTGATGGTTCCAGGATGGTTAGTGGTTTTCTGGGGTGATACTGGGGAGGTGTACACAAGGGAATATCAATCACAGACCAACCGTACCTCCTCTTTGTCAGGCATTTGCTGCGTCTAAGGCCATGGGTGGAAACTCAACTGTTAGCTCACACAGGCCCTCCGAGGCAAGCATCCTCCTACTCAACGTTTTCTTGCAGACAAGGAAACAAAAAGTTCAGAGGCACCATGCAATTTGACCAAAGTCACAGTTAATTAAGCGGCAGAGCTGTGTCGGGCCCCAGGTGGTCTTGCTCTTAATCATATTCCTGCTGCACTAAAATTCATTAATTCCTAAGAAAACTTTGAGCCTGGGCTCATGGGTGAGCTCAACATCTGGGTGAGTACTTGGCAGAGGAAGAAAGCTCTTCAGTCAAATTCAAGGGCACATCAGGCTTTAGAAGATTAGGGGATGCTCCATACCAATTCTACGGACTCAGTGGCACCATTTCCAAGACAGGTGAGCCAGGTGCTGGCCCCATGGGGAGAAGAGCCATAACCTTGGCCTCTTTCTTTGGCATAGAACTTCCCAGCCCATGAGCACCATCTATCAAAAACCCTTCTGGGGCCTTCCACCACCTCTTCTTACCTGCCAGCCTGCAGCACCCCGGAAATGCTGAAGAGCCCAAAGTCAGTGATGACAACTTTGCCATTGTCATAGAAGACATTCTTTGATTTGAGGTCCTTGTGAAGGATTCCCTTGGCGTGAAGATAGCCCATACCCTGCAAAAAGCAAGGGAGCAGGGAGTCGCCAGTGGACATCTGTGTGTTTGCTACCATGCTGGCATGAGCATGCACTTCTCATCTGGCTGACACACCTCCCCAGTGAGACCATGTTCAGAGTGTTAAGTATGAGAGAGGAAAGGTGAGAGCAGCATGGCAAGTAGCAAAGGGTGGGGCTCTCTCGTAAGTCACAGATCCACACCCCACTTGCGCACACCCCTGCCAAGCCATTCCCATTTAGTGAGGGTCCCAAGCCATTGCAAAATGCACCAAGTGCCCCAGGAGATGTCATACAACCCAGTAATCAAGAACACAGAAAAGGGTCTATTGGAGGTCTAGCTCAAGGCTGAACACCTGGAGTTTTTATCCTTTTTGTGAGCTCTTTCGTCTTTCATTCCTTCTGGCAGCTCGGTACTAACAGTTCCAATGGTAAAGAAAAGCTCAATTACAACCGACCTACAAGGCACCTGTCAGAAAAACACTGGATGCTCTTGCTTGTTTTAATCCAAGACAACATCCAGCAGTTTGATGGTTCCCTAGCAACTGTGAGAAAGATGGCTCATACTCATGGGAATTTAGGGACTCAAGGGATAAGGACAATTGAGCTTCCTACAGATGGGCATCATCATGCCTTGCCCCTGGTTAAGTACCATGGTGATAAGGCATGGAAACCAAACACTGGCAGACCATTCCTAGTGGTCAACACAAAGTTCTTATGCACACACGGTTTGGTATTTTCCAGGTCAGGTCTAATTTCTTTGGAGGCCAACCTGGTATCTAAAGTCCAATTGACTCTCTGGAGACTCAATACAGCTTTGAGGGGCTGCTCCAGGTGGGAGTCGGAGTGGGGTGGGAGTTGAGTCTGAGAACAAAAAGATGGTTGAGTGCCTACTGTACCTTCACAATTTCTTGGGCAATTTGTCTGGTTTTGTTGACATCCAAGACGATCTTGGCATCCCTCACCACGGAATAGAGTGTCCTTCCCTTACAGAGGCTGAAAAACAGAAGGGCGAGGTCAGCTGTGACAGTTGTTAAGGAAACTCATGGTAGTTAGGAGAAGTGACAAACAATCACTAAGAAAAGGCACTGTCAAGCCTGAGAGATCCTAGATCTGGGGTTGCATCTGAGATGAAGATCTGGGATAAAGTTTCTAATAAACTCTTCTGCAACATCACCAACTTCCTGGCAGACCAGGATGTTCACAGCCCCTAGCCCAGGCTTGCCTTGGTGTGCCTTATCCAGGCTCTCTCCTGGAGCAAGGCAGCAACCTTCAGGTTCTCAACGCCTCTTGGACAGCACTCTGTCATCCTCAGTTCCAGCTGCTCCCACTCACCTGGGGGAGCTGCCGGTTTGTGGGGATCAAGAAAGAAAGGCAAGCTATGCAATGGCTGATGTATCGTTGGCAAATGATGCATTCAGGCCATTAGACAGGGGTGTACAAACATCAATAGAATGACCCCAAGCACAGACACTGATCAAGATGGAGGGTTTTTCAAAACTATTTTCGGCCTCATTGAGTTCATTTTGAGGACCAGTGGTTCGGGATGAATGATGGCATTCTGCAGCAGAAGCAATGTGGCCTCATTGAGTCACCTGTGCTCTCATCAGTTCTGTTTCTCCTTCAGGAGCTCAGTTCCTGGCACACAGAGGATGGATGCTCAATAAGCAGACAAGAGTGAGTGAGTGAATGAATGATGAACTATCCAATGTTGGCAGAAAGAAGAATGTCATTATGAAAATTCCCCATCTATGTCAAAATTACAACTTGATTTTTTTTCCTTTTTAATCCATGGATTCATTGCTAAAGTATTGTAGGAACTGTATTCATCCATTAAGTATGTATGGAGCCGTTGTTGGGTACTAGACTTTTCTAAGATTGTATTTCCTGAGGTTCAAATAGGAACTCTACTCGTATGTGGGATCTCAGCATTGGCCCCTTGCTGTGTAGTTTTGGATACTGGATATCCAATATCTGACAATTTACCCATCCTTCATCCATGCATCCATTCCCCCATTCGTCCATCCATCACCCCTTCCACCCACCCATTCCATATTCCTTTCCTTCCCTTTCATCTATTCATCCCAGTTTTCCATCCATTCACCTTTCCCTTTCTCCCTCCTCTTCCCTCCCAGCCAATCCCATCCTTCTACCTACCCAGCCTACCTTTCTGCCTTTCATCCAACCCATCCTTCCTTCCCTCTTCCATCTATCAACTCACTCCTACCTATCCATCCATCCATCCGTCCACCCATCCCATCCTCTGCCCAGCCTGCCTGTTTTCCATTCATCTATCCACCCACTCACCTATCCGTCCTATCTATTTATCCAACAAATCCATTCTATGCAGGCATCTACACAACCAAGACACTATTTTTCAACCATCCGAGATTTTTGGATTATGATTTGTTTCTTCACCTGCATAAGGTGAGATTCTTAGGATATCTGACTCACAGGGAATCTGAATCACCTGCCCAAGGTTATCCTGTAAGTGAACAGGAGGCAGCCATGATGACTCAAGGTTGCCCCTCAGCCCTGTTGCTGCCCAAGGCAGTGTGTCTGCTGTGGCTGCTGGAGGAGAGGAGGTAGCAGGGGGCGCTGAACAGCCAATTAAGCCATATTGACATTTACATATTCGAGATGGCAGAAACCGTGGGTGGATTCTCTCCCCTGGATATTTGTTCTTGAGCAGCCACCTCCACTCATTACAGGAGAAAGCCCAGAAAATACCAGCCCCATTTCAGGCAGGCAAAAAAAATTATCCCAAGGGCCTCCAAAACATCCTGCGCCTCCTGCACACAGTAACCATGTGGAAGCCACACATTCCGTGTCTCTCTCTCTCTCTCTCCTCTATTTACTTTTATGCAGCAGACACTAAAGTCTTTGCTCTTCTTTTTACCCCATGACCTTGGACTGACCCAAGATGACTAGTGGGACTAGAAACGATTGCAACCACAGTTTGCTATGCCTATTCAAATGAAATATACAAGCAACTGACAGCTATCCAGTCCTTCTGTCCTGAGTATACACCCACCAGGTGTCCATCCTGATATTTTACCCCCAAACGTGCCAGAATATACTGGAATGCTAACAGCAACTATTTGGAAAAGCCCCAACCAGGAACCAAGGAGTATCTGAGTATTTGTGCCCTTTCCAAATCCATGTTTTGAAATCTGAACCCTAAGGTAATGGTATGAGATTTAAAATGAAGTGGGGACTTTGGTAAGTAATCTAGTTGTGAGAGTAACCTTAGAAAAGTGGCTCACCTACCCTCTATCACGTGAGGACACAGTAAAAAGGTGAGAATTTGTAACCAAGAAGCAGGTCTGCACCAGAACCTGGCTGTGCTCGGATTTCATCTTAGAATTTCAGCCTCCAAAACTGCGAAACACATTGGGGGGTGGGGGGTGGAGGGGCGCTAGCGCAGTGGCAGAGCAATCCTCCCCTGTGGTGTCAGCATCAATATGGGTGCTGGTTTGTGTCCTTGCCGCTCCAATTCCCCTCTGGCTCCCTGCTAAAGGCCCTGGGAAGGCCCAAGTCATGCATTATGGCGTGGTGAGGAAGGCCACCATCTGCGACACTGGCATCTCATACGGGCTCTGGCACCAATCCTGGCTGCTTCACTTCTGATCTAGCTCTCTGCTAATGCTCCTTGGGAAGCACCAAAAGATGGTCCAAGTACTTGGGCCCCTGTGCCCACCAGGGAGACCAAGACAAAGCTCCTGATTCTGGCTTTGACCTGGCTCAGCCCTGGATGTTGCTGCTGTCTAGGAAGTGAACAGCAGGTGCAAAATCTCTGACTTTCAAATAAAATAAATACATCTTTTTCTCTCAAAGATGTATTTATTTTCATTAGAAAGACAGACTTACAGACAAAAGGTGAGACAAAGATCTTCCATTTTCTGATTCTCTTCCCCAAATGACCACAACTGCTGGAGCTGAGCTGACCTGAGGCTGGGAGTCAAGAGATTCTTCCTGGTTTCTCACTTGGGCACATGGTCCCAAACACTTGGTCCATCCTCTGCTGCTTTCCTAGGCCATAAGCAAGGAGCTGGATGGGAAGTACAGTAGCTGGGACATGAACTGGTGCCCATATGGGATGCTGGCTCTTGAAAGCAGAGGAGTAGCCAGTTAAACCATGGTGTGGGCCCAAGTAACTCAATCCTTTAAAAAAAAATAAGATATTGCAGCAAAATGGATTTCATTGGAAACCATCGTGTTCAGTGAAACAAGCCACTTTAAAAAAGACAAATATATGTTTTCTCTGATTTGTAGTGGCTTATATAGAATGAAATGGTCACTTTGGGATAGGATTGTCATTTTTGGCCCATGTTTATACTCCTGTGGAATGTGGTCTTCCTACTTCTTTCTTGTTGAATATTATGATTAGTGGTGAATTAAGCCTGTGAATATAGAGTGGATGAAAATTATGCCTTTGCCAAAACCGATGAAGAAAGGAGAGGCGGGGCGGGGGGCATGGGGAGGAGTAGGGGAGTGGAGGGAAGTGTGGTTCATGGAACCGCACCTATGGAATACACAAAATCTCTTTAGCTTCACAAAAAAATTAACAACAACAAAAGCTATTTCCAGTAAGCTAGCCTTAAAGGCACACATCAGAGGCAACGAGCCGTTACCATCCAGGAAGCTCATCCCTGAGGCCTTCTGTCCACTCAGTGGCCTGGACTGCAGGCTGGGATTCCTGTAGCCACCACTCCCTTTCCTTCCTCCAAGCTGACAGTTACGAGGCCCAGAGACCCGGGCCTGAGCGGAAGAAGCAGGTGAAGCAGTATGAAGAGGAAGAGGCGACATTGGAGCTGTCCCTCACTCTGTGCCACCATGCGGTGCTCTAGTTGAATGGGATGCAGCAGGAGGACCCTCAGCAGAGGCTGAGCAGGTGCCGATGTCTTGCTGCTGGCCTTCCCAGGTGCCAGAACCAAAGCCAAATAACTGCTGGCGCTTTCTAAAGGAGCTTTATTGTGGTGCAGCAACTAAAGATCAGCTAAGATACCTCCTCTCACAGCGGGTACAATCCCAACCCTGCACCACAGCCAATCAAGCAACACCAACTTCTAGGGGGTGACTGTGTCTCTGCTTTCTTGGCTTATCTGTCCCTGAGTTTGTCTTTGGGAAGTGCTCTAGCAGACTCTACTGAGGGTCGCACATGGTCCACCTGGGCTGAGGAGTGTTGGGTTTGCTGGCACACTTGGACACTTGCATACCCTATATCCCACCGCAGAGCCTTTTGGGCCACAGGCCTCCTCTGTTGTAGCGCTTTGCACTTGCTGACTTCCTGCACTGACATCACCCACCTAGATCCCAAACTGGTAGGTGTTTAAACCCAAGGCCAGCAGCGCTGACAAACTTGAATGGGCATTAGGAGAGCTTGTTAAAACAAATGCCCCTCTGGGCCCGGAGGCGTGGCCTAGCGGCTGAAGTCCTCGCCTTAAATGCGCCAGGATCCCATATGGGCGCTGGTTCTAATCCCGGCAGCTCCATTTCCCATCCAGCTCCCTGCTTGTGGCCTGGGAAAGCAGTCGAGGACGGCCCAAAGCTTTGGGACCCTGCACCTGCGTGGGATGCCTGGAAGAAGTTCCTGGATCCTGGCTTCGGATCGGCATAGCATTGGCTGTTGCAGTCACTTGGGGAGTGAATCATCGGACAGAAGATCTTCCTCTCTGTATATCTGACTTTCCAATAAATAAATAAATCTAAACAAAAATGCCCCTCTCCTTAGTTTCTGATCCAAAGGGCCTGTGGTATGAATTTGCATTTCCAGCAAGTACTTGGTCAGTACTGCTGCTGCTGCTGTTGCTGCTGCTGCTGCTGCTGCTGCTGCTGCTGCTGCTGCTGTGGGGAGTTTGGAGACTCTAGTGTGAGAAGTACAGTTCAAGGCCACTTCCACTTCCCAGAGGCTCACAGATCCCCGGCTGGGCTCAGCAGCATCAGCTAGGTTCAGTTCACCAGCTAGGCTCAGCATCACCAGCTAAGCTTAACAC